CCCAGCAGGTATTTGTGTTTAGTGGAGGGTGCAGGGCTGTCTTCTGGTCTCTCCCACGTGCGGTCCCTTGGAGCAGAGGTGCTTTGCGTGTGTAACTGGGACCATCCTGAGTTGTGCATCTGTGATTAGATTGCAGAGCAAGGATGCCCGATACACATGCATGTTTGACTTGGTAAAACCTTTCCATTTTAGATATGCAGTTGAGGAGCCGGCGAGATGGCTCAATGGAATAAGCACTTCCCTGGCAAGTGCAAAGGCCTGAGTTCAATCCCTGGTTCGGGGCGGTGTGTGTGTGTGGGAGATATGTAGTTGCTTGCATGTCAGTTATAGAGATGTTCACAGGCGTGTGTGTGTATGCTGCTGAATGGGACTAGTGGGGACACTGTGTGGTGCGCTTAGGTGCTGCCTTCCTGCTGGTGGTGCTCGCAGCAGCATGCCCTGGTTTTGTTTTTGTTAAATCACACTTCGGAAGCCCCCTCAGGAAGGAAGACTCTAGAGCTGCCTCAGGAAGTAGGAGGAAGATGGGATAGGGGCTTGAAGCAAGGGGGTTGGGGTCAGAGGCAGACACAGGGCAAAGGGCCTCCTACTGCAGTAAAGCTTTTAACAGTTTGAACCTTCACTGTATGTTTCTTTTGGTAAATGTTACTCGATCCCAGGGCCAAAGTCCTGTGTACCAGTCATGCCTCAGCTGCACAGATCCTGAACCTTGCAGAATAGTAAGGGCTCCTAGGGTTGCCTGGCATGACTGAAAAGAGAAGTGGCGTGTCCTGCAGAAATGACTTGGAGGGGTCCCAGGGCTGCCCAGGAAGCTGGCGCCGCGGGAATGGGATTTTCCCAGCATCTCCTGCCGTATGTCCCTTCCTTCATGTCCTGGGTGACCCTGAGTGCTCACATCCACGCCTGGGCCTGCGGGAGCAGCTCTCAGGTCTTAACCAGGCAAGGGCAGCAGACCAGGCCTGGCCAGCCCACGCCCGGCTTCCCAGCTGTGGCCTCAGCGTCTCAGGCAGTCCTTGGCTGCGTTCGCCTTTCTTTTTTCATTCACTCGTTTATTTATTTATTATTTAGTACAGCTCTATAGGATCTCACTACACAGATTGGGCTTGTAGTTATCCTCCTGTTTGCAGCCTCCCAGGTGCTGGGATTATAGGTGTGCTTGTGCGTGTGCACGCGTGCACTACCACACCCACCACCACAGCCAGTCTCAGTCGCCATCTCAGTGGGGCTGGCACGGCATGCTGAGGATCAAACCCCAGTCCCTGCGTCTGCCTAAGCATGTACTTTAATCTGCTGAGCTATCTGGCCGGCCCCCTTCTCCTTTCTGAGTGGAGGTCTCTGTGGTGTCTTCAGAGCAGTGGTGAAGAGGAGTTCCTGTGTTGACGACGGGGTTTAGGTCAGTGTAGGAGTCCCTTCCAGGTCCTCATCTCGGTCCAAGAAGCCAGTGTTTGTAATCCCAAAGTTTCGTTATTGGAATCCCATCTAGTTAGTTCCAATCTACCACTTTCATTGCAACCCACGACGAAAATAAAGACACTAAATTATATTTTCAATCATTGGGGAGTCAAGGGGCTCTAAGTTCAGCCATGAAGATGGCTTCCTGGAACCAAGAGAGCAACCCACAGCCTCATCCAGTTTTTATTCAGTGGGTAGTGGCTTGAGGAGGATTGACTGAGAATTGTGGAAAGAAGGTGAGTCTGTGAGCTGAGCCAGGTGGGTGGCCTACATTTACCTCCGGCATATGCAGAGAGAGTAATCTGCATTACAGTGTTATACCATGGAGATACCATCTAATGTTTTGGGGGGTCTGGTGCTTCAGCTTTGATGTAGTCTTTCAAGCCCCAGGAAGTCATAGCCTCTATCTCGAGGCTCGATCCCAGCTGGTGGCGCGGAGCATTAGCTCTACCGTATTGTCTCGACCCAGTTCACATTAAAGAGCAGCAGGTGTAGGTTACCAGGGAAACACGCACGCCACTGTCACCAGCACCTCAGCTGGACCAATACACATTGCTTAAGGCCAATTGAAGAATAAACTGAAGTCCCAGCCAGCTCTGTACATAACGATACAAGGAAATAGGGTCAGGCTCAGTCAAGATGGAGACAGTTGCTCTTCTTTCAAGGAGAGCTGCTCAGGTGGGCCTCCACAGTGCCCCAAACTTGGAGGCGTTTAGGTTTGAGTTGTTAGTTGCTTTGTGTGCTACAGCGTCTGAATTCTTCCTCTGCGTGCCAGTATTTTTCTTTTATAAAAATGAGCTCGTACTATGCATGTTTTATATTTTATTTTTCATCTTGTCCTTTTTCATAAATGTAGCTTTTCTTTTCTCCCTCCCTCCATCCCTTGCTCCTTCCCTCTCTTTTTTCTTACTTCCTTCCCAGGATCCAACTAATGGTAGCCAAGCACTTTACCACTGAGCTACATCCCAGTGCTAGGTCCTAATAATTCCAGACATTGAACTTTAACTTAATTCTCACACATTATGAAACACTGTTCTTTTGACTTTTTTCAGTCATTCAAAAGTGCAGAAGTCACTGGTACTTCACAGGTCATAAAGAAGCGGGCGGCGGAGTGGACGGACTGCCCAGCCCGGGTGTCCCAGCCCGGGTGTCTGCGGGGGTTGCTTTCTCATGTCACCTTCTCCCACCTCTCTTTCCCAGCTGAGTCTGTTTTGGAAGCCTCTCCTCTGCCGTTTCTCAGCTGGCAGAAGCCGAGTCTCTGTCTTACTTTTCTTGTCACTGAGACAAAGTACCCGATACCCAGAGTTAAAGGAGAAAGATTCATTTGGCTCCCAGTGTGTAGAGGTCTCAGCCCACCGTTGGCTGGCTCCCAGGCAGGGCGGCATGCAGGGGAAGCAGTCCACGGCCAGCAGGCAGGCAAGAGTGTGCACCAGCCCTTTCTGCCCCTTGCATTCCATGCAGGCTCACCTAGGTTGGGTACAGCGCTCACTCCCTTCATTCCAGCCACAGTGAAGCCAAACCAAGCAGTGGGCAGATTTCGCCAGTCACCCCCCTGATCTAGCTGCTCTGAGAAGCCCCCTCCGTGTCTGCATGAGGCTCTGGGGGACATGGACACACAGCTATCACAGATGCCCTTGGCAAAGTCTGGGCATTGGACACTCGATAGTGTGGCGGGAAAAGCCAGGCATCTCCGAAAAGAGCCGTTAGAGCAATGTCACACACTGTCTTTCTTCCCACCTCGGTGTCCTGGCAAGGGCGGCATCCATTTGGCATCGGGGGCTCACAGCTGGGCCCTGGCAAGTTCTCCTGCTTCCCGCAGCATCCCGAGGCCCCAGGGAGCTGAGCCTGGAGCTCCAGTGGGGCGGGGTTTTGGGACATCAAGGTCATCGTGCCTTCTGCAGGCTGGCGCCCCCGCACCCCGAGTGTGCTCTGAGCAGTGAGATGTGAGCTGGCCGAGGCGGCTACTGGGCACGCGGATGGGGAGCCGCAGACGGTTACGTTGCTCCGTGATCACTGTGTTCAGCATGAATGCAATGAAGGACGGATGTGACTGGGTGTGTGTGAGGGGACACTGCCCACACTCACAGGGGGACTTAAGGGAGTTCTCGCATTTGCTTTGTGAACCTGGGACTGCGCTCCCTGCGTTTTATTTGGGGCTGTGACACAGAGGAGCAGCATTGACTTGGCCGCTCTGACAGACAGTTGACTTAGCTGGGTGCTGGCTGTGGAGACAGCTGCCGCCAGAGCAGCCTGGAGGAAAGCAGGAGAGGGCAGGCCCGGCGGATGCGGGAGAGCTGTGTCTCCGGCATGGCTGTCCTGCCTGCCAGCCAAGGTGGGCACAGTTGCCTCCTGTCTCAAGGCCTTGCTCGGTCTTTTATTTTGGGGAATGTAGGCTTATTTTAGTTTTTTATATTTTCTTAATTTTAGTTCTCGGTCTGAAGAGCAGCTGGTAAAATCGTTCTTGCATCCCGCAGGTTGTTGCCCTTACAGGCTGTCGTTCACTCTGTTGGTCATTTCCTTTGCTCTGAGGGCAACAGGGAAGGAAAAGCCCTTCTGCACTGTTAGTGGGGTGTGAATGAGTGCAAGTCCCACGGGGAACTCAGAGTCTCAGCGTGCCAAAACTAGGACGTACGCTCCCCAGCTAGTCTCTTCTAAGTATCTTCCCGAGAGAGCTGAGCACGTCGAATCACAGGGTGCTCACCCGTGTTTACAGCAGCAGAACTCATAGCAGCTAAGCCTGGAGGTGGCCTCTGCGTCCATCAGGGGCGGCCACAGAAGATGTGGCCCTTATACACCATGGCGGAGCGCTACTCTGCCATAGGAAGGATGCACTTGCGTCATTTGTAGGAAAACGGATGCACCTTGTCATAGAGTGTTACTCGAAATAAGTCAGACACCCAGGCTTAGATATCACGCGGCTTCTCTTCTATGAGAAATTAGAGTATAAGTGAAGATTAGAAAATAGGTAATGGGAGGTTGCAGAAAGCAGTGAGACCAGGAGTTGGAGGAGGCGCAGGACAGGAGGCATAGGGGTGAGGGGAGCTGAGGTGGCTCTGCCAACCACCACCTCTACACAAGGACCACACAAACTGAGAAAGAAAATAGCAAAAAGAATCAGGTGAAACCGTTTGAAATAGTATCGTTTTTTTAATTCCATAGATTTAAAATGTCAACATGGAGTCAATAGGCCTAAAATACCACCATTCAGTATATTCAATAGCTCTGAAATCTAATAGGTCTAAAGTAGTCATTTGAATGCTTGATCTGTGCAAAATACGAGGTATTTCAACCCTTTCTTTGGCCCAAGCCCTTGAAATGCAGGGTGCGTTCCACCCTCAGGGCAGTTGGGCCCCTAGGACTCGGGTGTTTCAGGCACCTGGTGGCCCTGAGGGGCTGCTGGCTCCGGGGTGGTCTCGGGCTGTGGGTTCCTGTTAGGGACCCTGTGCTCCCAAGGGCTGGTGGCACTGATGACCCAGTGGACCATCGGGGCAGTGGGCAGGGCCGCCTGCGACTGTGGTGCCATGTGGCCCTTTCTGCTCTTTCTCTCGTAGGTGCCTCATCCCCAGACATGGAGCCCAGCTATGGGGGTGGCCTTTTCGATATGGTGAAAGGAGGTGCGGGGAGGCTGTTCAGTAACCTGAAGGACAACCTGAAGGACACCCTGAAGGACACGTCCTCCAGAGTGATACAGTCTGTGTCCAGGTGAGCAGCTGCTCCAGCTTCCCTGGGACCCGACCCTTAGCCCAGGGCGCTGCTTCCAGCTAAGCACCTGCTTGGGGCGTGCCAGGGTCTGGGCGGGATCCGAGGAGCAGGACCCGGGTCGCCAGAGGCTGCAGCGTGGCTGGGAGAGCACAGCTCGTGGTAGATAGCTTGACAGCTGCCACGGTGGCTTCGCAACCAGCCATCCTGGGTTCTAAGGCAGGATCTGGGCTTGTTCTCCTGTGACCCAAGGCGTGTGAATCAGTTCTTGAACTTGACGTTTATGCCCTGATGGGATTGGCATGAGGGTTAAAGTGAGGTGACAATGGAAGCCGCTACTGAATAGCCAATACCTGTGGATTGTCACGAGAACAGATTTTTTGTATCCTGCTAGTTGTTCAGAGTTTATTTAGGGGGAGTTTTTTTTTTTTCCTTGTACTATATGCACATTCTCACACAAAAATAATGTGAATTCTTTTTATTTCCAGACATCACAAAATTCCCGGTTTACTTTATTATTATTTTTTTTAATTTTTTTTTTATGTGTGTGTGTGTGTGTGTGTGGCCAGCTCAGCCCACCAGGAGGCAGGGCTGGCTGGCATGTGGTGCTGGGGGATTGAACCGCGGTCCCTGCGCTTTGCTAAGTTTGTTCCAAGTAGGTGCTTTAGACCACTGAGCCATCTCACCAGCCCCCGGTTTACTTTAAATTTCAATTTTTTTTTTTTTTTTTGTGGTATTGGGGATTGAACTCAGGACCCTGCACTTGCCAGGCAAGCACTTATTCTACTGAGCCATCTCCCCATCCCTCAGTATATGGTTTCTGAGTCAGAATTTCAAATGTCAAGTCTAGGATATTAACCTAGGTTTTCATATTGGCTTTAAGGCAACATTTACCCCTTTTTATCCAGTTCCTAACCAGGCAGAAAAAGAGTCTCAGTTGTTTTTCTCTCAATTGTTTTTCCCTCCTTCCCTTAGGGAAGAGAGTTCCAAGTGGGCAGAGAGGCTGGAACAACTGTGTTAGCCTCTTAGCGGAGAGTCTGTTCTGAGCAGGACGTGGTGGAGAAGCACGTCGGGCACGTGTGTTAGAGCAGGACAGTTGTGCCCTGGGTGTGAGTGGTGGACAGGGGCACCTGCTGGACAGCAGCAGCCCTGTTCATGGTGCGCTATGGAAAAGTCCTGGGGTACTTGGACCTTCTTAACGAGAGCCCTTTCCTGCCTCTCTTGCAGCTACACGAAGGGAGATTTAGACTTCACCTATGTCACCTCCAGAATTATCGGTAAGTTTCTGTGGTTGGGGCCTCTCTGTGACCCGGCTTCTGAATGTGGCTCATGGAAGCAGCAGACATGCCTCATCTGTTTTCTCTCTCCCAGTGATGTCCTTTCCTGTGGATACGGTCGACATAGGATTCCGGAATCAGGTGGATGACATCCGTAGCTTTCTAGATTCCAGACATCTGGACCACTACACAGTCTACAATCTGTCACCCAAGTCTTACCGAACTGCCAAGTTTCACAGCCGGGTAAGGAATTTTAGCTCTGGGGTTGCATTTCTAGGATACGAGCAGGTGTTCTTCCTTTTAGCAGATGTCCTCAGAGCCTCTGCCACTGGACTCAGGAAGCTGGGAACCGTGCACACTGGACTGTCCTGTCCTTGCAGTCTGTGTCAGGCTCTGAGGGCACTGGGTGTTGGCAGGAAAGTGTCTGTCTGACTGAGGTGCCACTGAGGCTGGGGTCTCTGGTCACTTGGTGCTTGGAGCCTTCTGGCATGTGGCTCCTGAGGTCAGCTTAGAGACTGACCCGGGCCCAGGCCAGCTGGCCTCACTGTGATGTGATTTGCAGTAAATCTTCTGCTTTCTGCATGACTTCTCGGGCCTCTGCCCTAAGGGCAAGGTAGCACCAGGACGGCCAGTGCAGACATGCTGCGTCATGGGGTGCTCGCCTGGCTCTTGTTGCAGGGGCCTCTGCCCTAAGGGCAGGGTGGCACGGGGACAGTGCACGCTTATGCTGCAGGCTTGGTCACATAGTCTCTTAGTACTGGTAACAATGGAGGGAAGAACAGCAGCCGGCACTCAGACAGCTCTGCTTGGCTCTAAGAAGTTCATGCCTGTCATTGTATCCAATCCAGCACTGCTGTGCAGTAGTGGAGAAACTGAGGCGCAAAGAGGTGAATAAGGTAACTCACCTAGGAACAGGTGGCTCAAGGCCTGTGTTCTGAACCATTACCCTGGCCCAACGATATTGCTTGGAAAAGCTGGATTATCCTTTCAGAAGAGCCTTTGAACTAGGTGGGGAACTATTCCTAGGCTCGGGCTGGTGAAGGGGTTGTGGGTGCCAACCTAGCTTTGGATCTGGTATTTCTTACCCCGACTTCTTTGTTGATCTTCTCTCTAAAATAGGGCTTTTTTCTCTCTAAGAACATCTTTAAAGCTATGCCAGCCCTGCCCTTTAGATGCTATGAAACAGCAATTGAGACTGGGCATGGTGGCACGTGCCTGCAATCCCAGTGCTTGGGAGGCTGAGAACAGGAGAATCACCATGAGTCTGATATACATAGTGAGACCCTGTAGATTCTGTAGACCCTGTCCTAAAATAAAATAAAAAAAAATCTTTACATACTTGTGACTCAGGTTGGGACTTCAGATGGGTCTGTTGGCACACCCGTGGACAGCCAAGCAAGGCCACGCTTCACGTAGTGGATCGGTGCCCAGCCGTCAACGTTGTGTGACCAGGACCTCAGCGCAGATGCCGGAACTCATTTTGCTCTAAATTCCAAACACTGTTGCTACTACCTGGGACCTTAACTTTCACATCTGTGAGACACACAAGAGGGCCCTTTTCCGTGTGGGGACCAGTTCCCATCAGTCCTAGTGCCCAGTAAGATGCAGTGTTTCACCAAGTGGCTCCTTTTTCAGCAAGCCTGTAGAAGAGCCACAAACTTAGGTGGTGTCAGAATTACCTGAGGCCTTGTGGGGCGCAGACTTGTGCCCAGGGTGGGGGTAGGGTGGGGGCTAAGGGGGTGTCGAGGCCCAGGGACCTGTGTGTCTGACAGCTCCTGGTGTCAGGCTTGCTGCGCCTGTTGGCGGGGGGTGGGGGTGTCTCTGAGAAGCGCTGATAAGTCCTTTCTGGGACAGCTGGCTGTAAACTGCCACTCCGTGATGGGGTTTCTCAGCATAGATCTTAAAGATCCACAGAATAAGCTACGCTCACACTCTTATTCCATCTGTCATGTGACTCTGAGCACTGCACTAGCATGAAACACAAGCACAGATAGAAACTTAACTAACTGGGCGTGACTGCCCCAGCGGGTCTTCCTTGCTGGGAGCCCGAGTCTGGGCCCTTGTTGTCACAGAGCCTCCTGCTCCACCCCGCATAGAGACTTTTGTGCTCTTGAAGGACTTGGGATGGCCTGGAGCATCTTCTGTCTGAAGAGTAAAGGGAGACCTAGCGTCACCCGAGAGGCGTGTGCCTGGATGAAGACGTCTGGCTTGATGGCATCATGCAGGCCGTCTCCATTACAGCATCTTTAAAGCAATGCATTTGTTAGTGGAGCTAAAGATCCGTGGCTGTTAATCCTTTCCTGGAGGAGCCAGGAATCGCATGCAGGGCCTTTGCCTGGTGGCTCTCCCGTGTGCTGGTGGAGTGGGGAGCTGGTTAATGTTACTTGCTGCCTGGAATAGTGCCTGGTGTGGCTGACCTGCTTTCCATAGCGGCAGGCAGGCACGCATGGAGAGCTATAGACAGGAAAGAAAGATCCGGTTCTGTTTCTCAAGGCAGAGAGGCTTCCCTGGGAGAGAAGCTGGTCACACTGAAGCCGACTGCAAGTGCCCTTTACAGACCTACAGAAGAAGCTCGTGCAGGGGTGGCAGTGATCGCTGGGCCTGAAAGGGTGGCTGAGGTGATGGGAGGGGTGGTGGTGGTGATAGGGTGCACCCTATCCCCACAGAAGGTGGGACTGTCAGAGGTGGTGGCTGGGATTAGCATATTGGGCCACAGGGAGCACCTAGCAGCTGCGGGCCTGTGTCCCTCTGTGCTGGCGGAGACCTACAGTTTTGGCCTCTTTCCCCATGGATGTTCACGACAGCCTCCTGATCGATGTGGCAGTTTTACAAGAGGCTCAGGGAAGCTGGGATATGCCACCAGGGTCACATCGTGGGAACAGGGAAGCCACAGAGCTGCAGAAGAGCTTGCCGTGACTGGGTTTCTTAAAAGTATTTGGGCTTCTGTCTGCGCCTTTATGCTTTTCCTCCTTCAGACGGAGCACATACTTTTAAAAAATTCTAATTATATGTTCCCTCGTGGTGCATAATTACATATCAAGTAAATATATAATTATGGAGTACTTTAAATTAATATTATTTACTTGATTGATTCAGTGGCTCTGGAGCTGTTAGCCTGTTGTGCTAAGAATAGGTCAGCCAACTTTTAGTGAGACTCGGTATAGATTTTGACGTTTGGAATATTGTTTTTAAAACCTTTACAGTATTGCCTGGAAGAACAGCTTTGCTGTACGTGTACTTTGTTCTAACCTAAAAACCCCAGCAGGCACTTCTTCTCCTAGATGTACCTGTAGACAAATCTTACTGTAAAAAAAATTGCCAAATGGGGTCCATTCCTTTATTAATTTTTGTGTTTTTAGTCAGGGTTCTGCCGTGTACAGGCCGGCCTCGAACTTGTGGTGATCCTCCTGCCTCAGTCTTGCCTTATTCTTTCTCATTTAGTCACTCAGCAGGCGCCGGCAGAGCCTTTGTCACATGCATGCCACGTGGCCCACGTGGCCCAGAGGGGAGAACTGAGAATGAAGTTTTCTGGGAAAGAAGGAGCTACTTCTCCTGGAGCTCGGTCAGAGCGTGGGAGGTAGAAAGCGCCTGCGCAGCGCAGCTCGCGGGTGCCCAGTGCTCAGGCACGCAGGTGCGACCACGCAGTTCTCCCAGGAGCTGAGCACCCGGTGGCCTTGTGCTGCACACGCGGGCCGAGGCTGGCGAAGGCAGTACAGGAGCAGGTGGTAAATCCAGCGTGCAAACCCACTCGTGGCCTGAGGAGCGGTGCTCTGTGGCGCCTTCTTTAGGAGGCCTTGGGCATCCGGCCCTTCAGCCTGTGCTGCCTCCTACACCGCTTCATTTCTTTTTTTTTTTTTTTTTGCGGAACCGCGGATTGAACTCAGGCCCTTGCGCTTGCCAGGGAAGCGCTTATTCCACTGAGCCATATCCCCGGCCCGCTTCATTTCTTTTTAAAACGGAGATGTTCTGGCACCAAACCAACCAACCAACCAAAAGCCAAATCAGACAGCTCCGTGTAACCTCAGAGCTTTGCAGCAGCAGTCCTGTGCAGAAATGACCGCAGCAATCCCTTCTGCCCGTACTGTGCATGTGTCGGGCACGTGTCGGATGCCGGGCGGAGCGCCGGGGCACGTTCCCGCGGGAGAGCTCGGCCACGCACCACGCGCACGCATGTGAAGCTTCCAGCCCTCAGACCACCGTCTTGGCTGTTCGCGAGATGAGTGACTATCACGTCGGGTGCGGCTCCCGCCCAGCGCTCGGAGACGCTGATGGGCCACCGAGGGGCAGTGACGTCTGTCCGTCCATCTGGGCGGCCATGGCTTGGGACCAAACAACCCAAGGCTCGGTTTCCTTCCTTCAAAGCGGGATCTCATTCATCCCCGCCCCACCTGACCAACGGATCAGGCGGAGCAGCGGGACAGGGCCAGAGCAGGGGGCCATGCCAGAGGAGTGGGCACCTCCCCGAGGCGCACAGGGACGCCCTGGGGGAGGGGCGCCCCGGGGGGAGGGGCTCCCTACTCGCCGCCTCGCAGAGTGCGACCCGCGGGGGAATCTGCCCTGCTCCGCCAGCGCTTTCCGAGCTATCGCAAGAGCTGAGGCGCAGTTAGGGCAGTGCAGGGTCTCCGCAGTAACGCTGCAGGTGAGCACATTCTTCTTGATAGAAATTAAATTGAACGTCATCAAAGAATAGAAAAAAATCTAAATATGTACTAAAATTGGTCTAGTTTAATTTAAAATATTTTTCTAAATGTAATTTTATACCTTTATTGAAACAAGATCAGTTTAATTTAATTTTTTAATGTATTTTTTAGTACAGGGACTACAGCGTGTCATTACACAGATCGGACTCGTGAGCCTCCTGTTTTCAGCCTCCCAAGCCAAGATTGTTTAATCTTAAAAATTACCACCATCAACATTTTTCCCTCAGCATTTGGACCTTGCCCGCAGCTCTTCGAGGCAGTGTTGCACGTGACGCGGGGCCGCTCCAGGGAGGCCCGCGGGGCAGGTGGCTGCCGGCGCTCATTGCCTTTGCTGTGTCCCTAGGTCTCCGAGTGCAGCTGGCCCCTCAGGCAGGCCCCCAGCCTGCACAACCTCTTCGCCGTGTGCCGGAATATGTACAGCTGGCTGCTGCAGAGCCCCAAGAACGTGTGCGTGGTCCACTGCTTGGTGAGTGGCCGCGTCGGGAGGCGCGCGTGCTGCTTGGCGGGGCGGGGTTTGAGTCCTGCGCTTTCCGAGCCCCTCCTGGCGTCGGGTGACTTGGAGGAGGCCGGAGTGAGAGAAGTGTTTCGCTCTTGGCTTTTGGAAGCTTGCGTGCTGCTGGGAGAAGCCAATGTGTGGCGTGGGGACTTTAAAATGCGCCGAATGTTATACAGGAGGTGGAAATAAGAGCTGTGGGCCTGTGGGGAATAACGTAGAGTTCATGTGAATAAAGTTGGCATAAACTTAGTGGTACATTTATTCTTTTATATTCATGTTTAAGTAACAATGGGAGAAAAAGCCCCCGTGTACTTGGAAGTCATGGCATCGATGAGCTGTGCTTTGGAGGACCTTTCCAGCTCCGCGTGGCTTCCCAGGATGCCTTTGTCCAGCCTTCTCCCTGCCTCCTTCCCACCCCCTACAACTCAGCCTTCAGTGAAGTCTTCAGGGCTGGGGCTCTTCTCCCAGCACGGGCATTTCCACCATGCAGCCTCGTGCCTCCTGTGGCCTTGAGCACGCTGCGGCCTGTTGAGTGGCTCTCGTGGTCTTTCTGCTGGACTGTCATCCTGCAGGAGAGAATGCTGCCGTTTATTCCACGATAGCACCCTGGGAATCAAAAGTTGGAACAAATGATTTGAGTTCATGAACAAAGGAGCGCGTCGATGGGCCCTGGTGTGTGAATCAGGAATAACTAGTCGCTCCTCAGACCTCCGATTGTGCTTTTGTGATGCGAGTACTGGAGGACTTTGTGAGCGGGCTGGCTAAAACAGAGGGAAGCAAAATAACATTTTTTCCTTCCTGCTTAAGTTTCTGAACGCTCAAGGAACGCACTTGGTGTCCATAAGAATTTTGTGTCAAAAGCTTTCCTGTTGTAGGCACAGCAGGTCACATGGTGGGAAAAATACTTATAAGGGCCGAGCCGATAGCTCAGCAGTATAAGCACCTACTAGCAAGCACAAGGTCCCAAGTTCAATCCGTTATGCAAAAAAACCCCACAAGCCTGATGTGATGTTTCTTTTTGTACCAGGACTTGAACTCATGACCTCGCACTTGTCAGGCAAGGCGCTGTGCTGTTGAGCTACATCCCTGGCCCTTATGTGGATTTCACAAAGATCTTTTCTAAAAGTTTCAAGAGCCTGGGTCTGCTGACTGTGATGATCTGGGAGAGACTGGAGGCTCTTGTAAGCACCAGGTAGAAGGTCAGGCGGAGGAGGAGCAAGGGCTGGCGAAGAGCGTGGCCTCGCCGTGCTGCGCAGCCTCACTGCTGAGGGCCTGCATGCTGGGGATCTGAGCCGGCCGGCCGTGGACTGAAGCTGCGTGGCCTGTCGATGTCTCACGCTTACACAGAACAAGCACAGGCTGGGCATTTATAATTAAAAAAACCTTAGAAAAGACCTGCCTGGTGGGTGGAAGGAGGGACCTCATATCCCAGAGGCACGGGCCAAGAAGGCCAAACTGAAAAGAATGAAGCTTGAGCACATCGGGACAGCACATTCGAGGCATCCAACAGCTTCCTGTTTCTGTCAAGTCAGAAGGGAGGGCAGTGCTGAAGTGACAGCCTGCGTAGTACTTAGCGTCAGCCCATGCTCAGGGCTTCACTTAGGCGACAGTTCCTGGAAACCTGCGGAGAAGCAAGCATGGAGTTCTGTGTACCAGGCAAGTGTAGAAAGGCGTCCCCTGGGGACAAGGTGGTGAGCCTGGCCCAGTGCCGGCTAGCATGCGGCGGGCACTTCAAAATCCGATCAGTCTGTACTTATATAATTATATAATTTTAAGCTCTCTGGGGCCGGGGAGGTGGCTCAGTGGAACAAGCGCTTCCCTGGCAAGTGCCAGGGCCTGAGTTCAATCCCCGGTTCCGCCGAAAAAAATAAAATAATTTTTTTTAAACATTTATTTATTTATTTATTGTGTGTGTGTGTGGCCAGCTCAGCCCACCAGGGGGCGGGGCTGGCTGGCATGTGGTGCTAGGGGATTGAACCGCGGTCCCTGTGCTTTGCCAAGCTTGTTCCAAGTAGGTGCTTTAGACCACTGAGCCATCTCGCCAGCCCCAAAATAAAATAATTTTAAACTCTCAGAAAGAGTCCACACAGACTCATGAGCACGGAGGCCAACTCAACCGAATACTGGGCAACAAGGCGGGTGGTACAGCTGGGTCAGCTTGTTGGATTCCTGTGTAGGGTTTCCCAGCTTCTTAGGCCCTAGAAGGAGAAATCTGGGCCAGGTCATGCACAGCCCCGAATCCTGGATGCAAACAAACTCGTTTGTCTTGTTTTACCAATGGATCACCTGAGAAAGAACCAGGGGTTTTGGCAGAGACAAAGATCCCTGTGAGCTTAGCCCCTAAGCCTGTCCCTGGCTTCGAGTAAGGATGAGGCGTTTCTGCTCCAGTTTGGCCAGCACTCGTAGAGTCTGTTCCGAGGAGCGCACGAAGTGATGCTGTCTTTAGAAGGAAGGCCAGAGAGGAAAGGATGGATGGGTCAAGGGATCGGCTTGGCTTTTACCAGGAGAGAAGCATGCATGAGCACGTGAGGCGTCTCAGAGAGGCGAGGGGCCATAGTGGGGAGAGAGGGATCGGCTTGTTCTTGGAGGAGACTTTAACCTAGTAAGAGGAGGGCTCTATGAGCTGAGCTGCAGTGCCTTGGAGTAGCAGCACTGTCTGCCCTGTCACTGCACGAAGCTGGGTCTCACCTGGATGCTGTCTACGTCTGCTGCAACACATGTAGCCCAGGCGATCCCCAACAGTAGGCGATCCCCAACAGTAGGCGATCCCCAGCAGTAGGCGATCCCCACCAGTAGGCGTTCCTTGGTCGTGGTTGTGGAGGCTGGAAGGGATCCAGAAGACTTCGTGGTCCAGTGTGTGGCCAGTGTGGCAGATGGCCAGCAGGGGGCAGAGGAGGCAGAAAGTGAGCAGGACCCTCTTCTTACAAGGACATTAATTTAATTTGGTTTCATTTGTGTCCTCTACCCCACATCCTGATGCCTCCCTGAACCTTTACTTTCTTTTTGTTTTTTGTTTTGCGGTACTGGGGATCGAACTTGGGACCTTGTGCTTGCCAGGCACGCACTTATGCCGCTGAGTTATCTCCCTGACCCATGAACCTCTACTTCTTAATACCATTACATTAACATCTGAACTTGGGACACTACACTTTCTGTCTCTCTGTCTCTCTCTGTCTCTCTGTATCACACACACACACACACACACACACACACACACACACACACTCACTCACACAGATTTGGTCCATAACAGATTTTTTTCTACATTAAAAGAAGTTATGTCAGGTTAAATTTTCAAATTTTATATTAATGTGAATGCACTTTGGGTAAAAGGTCTGATCAGAAATTACTAAGAACATCAATGCAGTGAATGAAATACTGCCATGAACCCTGCTCAAGGTTTTCCTCCACTCCTCTGCACACCACGTCCTGCAGCAGCTCTGCTGTCCTCCCTCCTGAGGGTCTTTAGCTGTGCGGTTCTGGCTGCGCCAGTATCCAAGACATTTCCTGGTCACTCTGACTTGGGGGAGGAGCCAGAGCCATAGGGAACCAGATCTGGTGAAGAAGGTGGATGACAGTAGACTGTTAAAATGGCCCCCAATGGTTTGAATTTAGCCAGAACATCCAGCCAGCTGGGGCGGTGCAAGCAAAAGACATCCAGGAAAGCAGGCTCCAGAGCAGCCTTTGGAAGCAGCAGGGAGGGTGGGATGAGAGGGCTCCAGGCAGCGGGAGGCGGCATCCTGGCCGTGTGCCTTTCACTGTAATGAATTTTAAAAGTTTCTCAAAACACTTTCCTGATTGCAGCTTACCTCCAGCATTCTGGCAAGCAGAACTTTCTAGCCTATGAATTCCTTCCTTCTAGTCCTAAACTCAGACCCCCTCACTATTAGCTGTGCTGCTATAAATCAACATCATGTTGAAGATGAGTATATTTTTCAGTACACGTATCCCAGTCACGTTCATTTTGCTGGGCTTCTTGGCTGCGTGTAGAGTCAGTTTTGTCCTAAGAAAGCATGTTTCCTTTCTGCTTTGTGATTTGAACAGCTGGTACAGATTTGAGTTTTCAAATTTTTAAAAAAATCATTTATTTATTTGTTTATTTATTTGGTACAAAGTCTTGTGTGGGGCCAGCACGGCATGTGGCCCCAGGGATCACGCCCAGGCCTTTGCACTTGCTTAGACCGCTGAGCTATCTCCCCAGCCCCAGATTTTGGTTTTCAAATCAACGGTTTTGATGTGAGAGATGTCCCTTGAAGGGAATCTCCCTTTCTCTATCTTTTTGAGCTGACTTCCTTTTGTTATGCTGCGTGGCTCTTCTGATAGGCTTCTTCATTTTAGTCTTTGTTGGTGCAGGTGGCAGTGCACCAAGATGCCAGGCCCCGGGCGGCCCGTACCTGACCCCTGGGAATCCTTGCTCTGCACGGCCTCCCTGCCTTCCACCCTCTTCCCTGACCCATTCCATCTTCTCCCACAGGATGGCCGGGCCGCCTCGTCGATCCTGATCGGTGCTATGTTCATCTTCTGCAACCTCTACTCCGCTCCTGGCCCTGCCATCCGGTTGTTGTATGCAAAGCGCCCAGGGATTGGACTGTCGCCGTCCCACAGGAGGTACAGCGGGCACAGGGCGGCCTCGGGACCTAGGACCGTCTGATGCCCTCTCCCAGGCCTCCCAGGGCTGGCATAACCTTCTTTTAGCTTATCTGACGTTATCCTGAACTATCGGAACAACAGAATTGAATTAAGATATTGAGTTTTTAGTTTTCCAAGTGTCCATGTGAGAGTTTGTGATTTTATGATTAAAAACTTTGAAGAACGCTTAGGCTGGGCATGGTGATACACGCCTGTAATATCAGCACTCGAGAAGCTGAGGCAGGACGATCACCAAGTTTGAGGACAGCCTGGGCTACAGGGTGAGTTCAAGGGCAACTGGACTACATGGAGATGTTCTGTCTCAAAAAATCCTGAAGAATACTTCTGTTGACTTCCCTCATTTCATAGGTGAGAGGGCTAGGCCGGGGCAGGTTGTGACACAGCCCCAGCACTATCGGGGTCTGTCTTAGTTAGTTTTCACTTGTTGCAGGGACAAATACCCAGCACTCAAAATTAAGGAAGGAAGGCTTTATTTAGCGCACAGTTTGTGGAGGTTTCAGTCTGAACTCCGCTGGCTCCACGGCAAAGGGCAGCAGTTCACTCTTCCTTCAGCGCTGACTGAAGACGGGCGCTCCTGCACAAAGATCAGAGCGGCTGCAGAGATCAAGCTCCTCCAAAGACTGAGGCTTCTCCAAGGAAGCCGGCCCAGAGCTTCCTCAACTCTTTTATCCATGCTTTTTGTGCTGAGTCACTCTGGGGTGGCCCATCCTGCCTCGGCCCTGTGCAGGGGAGCTGCCATGTCCCAGAACCTGCTCAGAGGAGATCCAGCGAAGCTTCGGACTTCTCCAGTTGACACAATGTATCAGCTACCACAGGGTCCCAGCCGAGCCCAGCAGCGACTGTGTCCCCATTGAGGGAGCTCGGTCTGCGGGACATTGCGGGCGAGGAAATGCCAGGCTGCAGCAGAAGGGGATTAGAAGCCGGCTTTGTTTTAGGCCTGAGAGAAAGAAGGAAATAGGTTGTAAGACATCCTCTGAGAAGAAGCTTGAAACGGGAAACCTGGCCAGATAAATGATTCATTTTCCTTCCTTTGTTCATATTTTTTTCCAGTTTTAAAAATCTAAGTCACATTTTCTTTTTTGGATAAAAAATACCTCTGATGGTAGAATTTAAGACGCTTTCGAGACAGCTGTTCGCTGATCAGGCTAAGTCCTCAGCCATGATTAGGCAGATGTTGAGCTGCGGGCGATGCTGAGACTCCCTGAACCTCTGGGTTAGCAGAGCCCGCCTTGGCTCCAGGGACGTGCGGCTGCATCAGGGGACAGTGGTCTCGCTCTGCTATTGCGCATTAGAGTCTGAGAAGGTAACGGGGTATGTTTTTGCTGCAAGCTAGCGAGTTTCGGGAGCAGACTGGCCAGCGATGTCGGCTTGGTCATCGCCAGCCACCCCCAGAACGGTATCCTCTGTTCCAGGTACCTGGGCTATATGTGTGACCTTCTCACAGACAAGCCGTACCAGCCTCACTTCAAGCCTCTTACCCTCAAGTCCATCATCGTCAGCCCCATCCCCTTCTTCAACAAACAGAGAAGTGGGTGCCGCCCGTACTGCGACGTGCTGATCGGAGAAACCAAAATATATTCCACCTGCACAGACTTTGAACGAATGAAGTGAGTCATGATTTCTGTCTCTCACCGCTGTCTCTTGTTACTGTTTAATTCCCACATAAATTGGGTTGTATTTTTCATGCTACTATGAAGTGACTGATTAAAAAAAGGCTTGAGGAAAAAAAAAAAAAAAAAAAGCAAGCCTGAGGGCCAGCCAGATGGCTCAGTGGATTAAAGTGCCTACTTAGGCACATGCAGGGGTCAGAGGTTCAATCCCTGGCCTGCTGCGCTGGCCCCAACCCTGGGGCGCACTGAGATGGTGATTGAGACTGAGCGTGATGGCCCACACGTGTAATCCCAGCACTTGGGGAGCTGAAAACAAGAGAATCACTACAAGTCCAAGCTGTGTAGTGAGACCCTGTAGATGACCCTATAGACCCTGTAGACCTTGCACTAAATAAAAAAAATAAAAAACACCAAAAGCTTGAAAAGCTAGGTGTGGTCATTGAGGCCTGTGATCCTGGCTATTGGGAGGCTGAGGCAGGAGGATCACCTGAGCTTGAGACCAGTCTAAGCTACACAGTGAGTTACAAAGCCAGACTATACTGCATGGTGAGGCCCTGTCTCAAAGTCAGAAATTTGGTGTTGGGGAGATAGCTCAGCAGTCTAAGCATTTGCCTGGCAAGCGCAAGGTGCCAAGTTTGATCCCTAGTAATGCATGCCCCAAAACTGGCCGTGGTGTTACAGGCCTGTGATCTGAGTGCTGGGGAGGCTGAGACAAGAGGATTGTGATGAGTCTGAACTGTGTAGTGCGTCCCTGTACCAGATACATACATAAACAAACAAACAAGTAACAAAACGTTCCACATCAGTAGTAGTTACAGAGAAGTGTGGCCAGAGGATGTTGGGCTTCTCGCCATTCCAAAAGGGGCTTTAGACTGAGGGGCCAGCGGGGGGTGTGAAGGCAGGAGGGGCGGGGTGCACAGAGGCCCTGGACCTCCGTAGAGACGATGGCTTCTTGGGTTCCATGAGCCAGCGGTGGGTGCAGTCTGGGTGATCCACTTGGTAGGTGGTGACCTAGTTACAGAAGTTTCCAGGGCAGGAGCGAGCAGGGGGTGGTGGTGATGTGAAGCACATTAGTTGGGGACAGGGTGGATCTGGGGACTCATATAGGAGACTCACGGAGGATGGCATTTCTGTTTCCACACTGACCCCGCTTCGATTTTGTGCTCCCTTCATCTCTGCTCTCCAGATGAAGGTTAGGAAGAGCAAGCGAGAGCCTGCACGCAGGCTTGGGCAGCTGCACCGTCCAGGTGCTGACGACGGCGGGGCGGCTGGCGAGGGACAGCGTCAGACAGCCTGCTCTGCCCAGGGCAGGCAGCACCCCTGGGTGGACGGGTTCCCCTGGCTCGAACCGCCGAGGGCCGTGCCAGTGGCTGTGTGACTGACTGTGTTGCATGCGTTTTATGCTTTGATCTGCTTAGAGAATATCGTGTCCAGGATGGAAAAATCTTCATTCCTCTCAACATCACCGTCCAGGGAGATGTGGTTGTCTCCATGTACCACCTGAGGTCCACCATCGGGAGCCGGCTGCAGGCCAAGGTGAGTTTTGGGGTGGTGGTCGCGGGGAGCTGCGGCCCCAGCTCCTGAGGTTGGTGGGTTGACAGGTTAGCGGCTACTGGATCAAGTTTAGGGCCTGTCACGCGGTAGGCAAACGCACTGCCATGGAGCCACGGAGCCACGTCCCCACCCCTCCACAGAGCTTTTCATGGGAGTATTTGAATCTTTGCATGATCACATTGAGCTTGAGTGACTCGTGGGTTTAGAATGAGAAGGAGCCTTGAAGGGCTGTTTCTGTCTTCCGTCCCTCCCTCCCTCTGTCTGTTTCTTTCTGAGGTGAGACACTAGACCTCCAAACAAACCATGTTTTCCAAAAGCTGCACCTCGCTTAAAGTGTTCCCTTTGAATCTGTGTAAAGGGGGTGATTCCAATTGAGAATGTAGAATTAAAATTTTGTGTATTTTTTCAATTTTTTTTTACTGAGATAAAGTTCACATTATTTATAAGCCACCTTTTAAATTTTTTTTTTTAATGTATTTAGTACCGTGTTTATAGGGTCTCACTACACAGAATGGACTCGTAGTGATCCTCCTGTTTTCAGCCTCCCAAGCGCTGGGATTACAGGCTTGGGTGCCACCAGACCCATTCTCAGTTGCTCATCAAGCCCAGGCCGGGGCTGGCTCTGCCTAAGCAGGTGCTTTAATCCGCTGAGCTATCTGGCTGGCTCTGAGCCACCCTTTTAAAGTGTGCAGTGTTGGGGCCGGGGAGATGGCTCAGTGGAATAAGCGCTTCCCTGGCAAGTGCAAGGGCCTGAGTTCAATCCCCAGTTCTGGAAAAAAAAAAAAAAGTGTGCAGTGCATCTGGGCATGGTGGCACATACTTGCAGTCCCAGCACTCGGGTGGCTGAGGCAGGAGGAGAGCAGCCTGGGCTACATAGCGAGTTTGAGGACAGCCTGAACTACACAGCAAGATCTGGCCTCAACTCTAAGTTAATACATAGATGTATTAGTTCTTTTTATTAATTTTATTGACAAATAGCAATGAGACAGTTTCAAAACCAATTAGGACAGTTTCCATAATTAAAACATTGCAGTAAATAGATATACTGGTAATGTGCATAATTGTAACAACTATGAATCCTAGAACATTTTATCACCGTCTACAGTACCCAGCACCCATCAGCACCACCCTCCTGCCCGTCTGCGGTCGGCTGTGGGTCCGCTTCCCAGCCCTTTGGCTGGCTTATTTTATCACCGTCTACAGTACCCAGCACCCATCAGCACCACCCTCCTGCCCGTCTGCGGTCGGCTGTGGGTCCGCTTCCCAGCCCTTTGGCTGGCTTATTTTATCACCGTCTAAAGTACCCAGCACCCATCAGCACCACCCTCCTGCCCCATCTGCGGTCGGCTGTGGGTCCGCTTCCCGGCCCTCTGGCTGGCTTATCTTGTACCTTTCGTGCGCGTGGGACCCTGCAGGACGTGTCTGTGGAGGGCTTCTGCTCTTCGTGTACGTTTTTGAGGGTTATCAGTGGATTGTGTGTCTCAGGCTTCCATCCCTTACAGAGCCATGGAATTGTCTGGCCGCTAGACCACAGTTGTCTAATCTCCAGTTGGTGGGGTGACAGCCACCCATAGCCTTGGGAGTGCTGCTGCATGTAATTCTGCCTTAGTTAGTCCAGATTTGCTTAGTGCATGCTCAACCACGTCTAGAGGCTTAGAGGTGAGGTAAAAAAAACTGTGTCCCTACCTTGGAGAAACAGCCTAGTGGAAAGCTCACACCCTCCTCGGTGTGGACCACAGTGCCTGGGGGAGGGTGGGCACCACAGTGGGTGTTTGCTATAGGAAGCACACACTGTCCCAAGGTGGCCACGAAGGGTGAGCTGATTGGGTGGAAGCCGGGTGGCCAGGGAGGGAGGAGGACGGTGCGTCGGAGGACGCAGGGAGCCAGGGAGCAGGGACGCCTTGTCAGGCGGGGCTTCGGAGGAGGCTCTAGGAAGCAGCCAGCAGGCGAGTCCACATCCACAGTGAGTGGCGACACTTCAGATGCAGAAGCGGGTGAGGCCGCACAGCTCCCCAGGACATGACCTCTGACGAGCGCCTCTCGCATGTCCTTAGGTGACCAACACACAGATATTCCAGCTCCAGTTTCACTCGGGATTCATCCCTCTGGACACCACCGTCTTGAAGTTCACCAAGTAAGTTCTGCCCGGACTGGAAGTCTGTGTTCGTCAGTGCAGCTGTGACGTGCTGGGGGCCCCACTGCAGCGCCCCCAGCACCTGGGCTGCTTGTCCTCAGTGTCACCTCGCTCGCTGCTGGGAGAGGCCGGCTGCATTCAGAACTTCCAGCAGGGACCTGGGCTCAGGCCAGGGATATTGGGGTAATGGCCACCAGGCTGATGCCTGCCACCACGGCACACAGGAGCAGACATTGACCCTTAGTGGCTCTGTCATGGTGTGGTGGGGGGTGCAGGGAAGTGGCTGAGCCTGGTGGCACATGGGTGTGGGGCAGTCGGGTGACGTCCGAGGGCTCAGGACAGCGTCTGTGGGCTTGTGTCACTGCTCTGATCCAGCCAGGCCAGTGCCTGCCGGCTGAGTGATCTGGCTTTGCCATCCAGAGCGCCTTCACAGGCAGGAGCACCTGTGTTCTCTGAACAGGTGTTGTTCTCCTTTCTGCTCTAGCTGAGGAAACCGAGGCAGAGAAAAATAAAGAACTGTGTCCGTTTCAGGACGGTGTCTGTACTGGGACGAGTCCAGCGTGTCTGAGACAGTCTCTGTGTTGAGTATGTTAGCATCTCTGTGAATTCTCATCAGTCTGACCCTTTAAATCCCTTCAGGCCCGAGTTAGATGCGTGTGACATACCCGAGAAGTATCCCCAGCTGTTTCAAGTGACACTGGACGTGGAACTCCAGCCGCATGACAAGGCTGTAGACCTGACCCCGCCGTGGGAACATTATTGTGCAAAGGATGTCAACCCCAGCATCCTCTTCTCCTCCCACCAGGAGCACCAGGACACTCTGGCCTTAGGAGGTAGGGACCACCTGCTGCTTTGTCTGGCAGGGCACGGCCTCTGTGCTCTTAGTCATGTGGCCTCACTCCTCGTGTCTCACTCGTGCCACCTGGCCTTCTGTCCTGCAGGACAGGCTGCAGTGGACGTGCCCCCTGACAACCCCAGGCATCCCGGGCAAGGCGGCTTCTTCTCTTCTCTGTGTTGGCAAGGTACTTGAGCATTTCTCTGTATCTGTAGTAAGGAAGGAAGAGGGGCAGGTACAGTGTGTGGGCCTTCTGTGAAGGCCTGCACCCCAACTGAGGGAGAAAAGCCTGGCTTTCAGCGATGCTCCCAGGAGTAAACAAAGTGGGAGGCGCAGCACAGCACCGGGAGTTGCTTGGTCCCCCCAAAGCCCACAGCATTGTGCCAGAAGACGAGTCGTGGTAATTGCGATCAGCTGTGGGCTACTTGCTGTGGGTCTGAGACTGAGCATGGCTGTGAGTAGGTGCTGTTCATGACCCCTGTTTTGCTGAGCAGGAAACCCAGGCACAGAGGACTTGCTTGGGGACTTGCTGGGGGGCACAGAGACAGCGAGAGGAGGAGCTGGCAGCTGGGGTTCAGTTCAAGCCTGCCTAACCCAAGTTCCCACTGTTCACCCTTGTGCCACACTCCTGTTGGGACCTCGCCCAACAGTGCCCTGGGCGTTGAGTATGATGTGAAATGTGTCCAGAGACCCCTCGGAGGGCGCGGAGTGGGCTTTGTGTGGAGCTGAGTCCTTCCCTTTCTGGGGTGAGGTACATGTAATGTCAGCCATCTCGAGCCACTAACCCCTGCTGGCCTTCCTCAGATCAGAAACCGGAGAGATCCTGCGAGGAGGACCACGCTGCCCTGGTGAACCAGGAGAGCGAGCAGTCGGATGATGAGCTCCTAACCCTGTCCAGTCCGCAGAGCAATGCCAGCGGCGACAGGCACCATGGGCCCAAGAAGCCCAGCAAGAGGCAGCCAGAGCCCACAGTGCCCCCAGCTCCGGAGGATGTGGACCTGCTGGGCCTCGAGGGGTCTGATGTGGGCCAGAACTTCTCTCCGCCGGCACCTCCTCCCACCAACACAGAACTGCTCAGTGACCTGTTTGGGGGCACAGGGGCAGCTGGCCCAGCCCCGGTGGGACAGTCAGGGGTGGAGGATGCCTTCCACCCCAGCGGGGCAGCGTCCACTCAGTCCACCCCTCGCCGTGGCGCCACCTCCAGCTCTGCATCACCGACCCTGCGAGTGGGAGAAGGTAACTTTCGCGGGGCACCGTGCGGCTCCAATCTGAGTGGTATTTGGGGGCCCAGCAGCAGAGGGAGCTGCCCTGAGAAGCTGGCCTCTTCTGGCTTCCCCAGATGTCCTTCAGAAGTCTGATGTAGGTCTCCACTTAAACAGAATGCAGAGAAAACAGCGTGTTCAACTTTCTAAGAGGGCAAGAGTGGCTGTCTGAGTTCCCCATTCTCACTTTTAAATTCTTTTCCCAGGATATCAAGCCCTGAGCTGCTCGGAGATGTAGATGGATGAGTTATTATTAAAAATAATAAACTACTCTTCGTGGAATACTGGGCGTTTGCCAGATTAACATTAACTGTGACTTAGTTCTTATAAAAACGTGAAACATAGGTGCTGTCATTTTATAGTGAAAGAGATGGAAGCTTAGGTCTGAATCAGTAGTGTAGGTCTGTGCAGCTGGACGTTGGTGGGGACAGGGCCTTAACCTTCGCCTGGACTCCTTGCCTTGGATTTCCTGTGGTGGCTCTTGGAATTGTGGTGCAGCGCGCTGGTGCATCTGGGTGGCCTTGGTAGCTCCCTTCCTCTCTGCTGCTTGCCACCGAGTGGACCCCTCCACCCAGGACTGTCATCCACACTGTTGCTGATACCAGATGCACTGCAGCTTCCAAGGAACCAGCTCAGACTACGGCCCTGCTACGGTCATGTGGCTTCACGTTTGCAAGGGCGCAGGGCCAGGTCCGGGCGCCCAGGTTTCCTGGGGATGCGTCCCAGGGGCATTTTTCCTGGCTGCAAAGCCTCTGCACTGGCTTGGCTTGGGAGCTCAGTGGAAGCCTGATCTGGGAGAGCTGGCGTCAGAGCGGGTGCCGAGGTCCACTGGGTGTGGACCTCATAGCGCTGAATCCGAGAGTGCGGCTGTCTTTCCTGGTTCGTTACTTCTAGATGGTTCTCATGTATCAAAATGAATATCACCTCTGTTGGGAAAATAAGTCCCCTACGTGCAAGACAAAGCACTCTGTGGGCCTTTATCAGCTCCACTCACTGCATGCCGTGATGATAGATGTGTTCCAGTGTTAGAGTTAGGTGGGGCCTTTGACATCAGCCCATTCCACGTCTCAGGTTAGAGACAGTGACACTGGGGCCTAGGTGACCTGGTTGATTTATCCGAGCACACTCAGCTCATTAGTGGCTGGTCCAGCTCCCTACCTCACAAAGAGGACTGAATCTATTTTTTTTTTTTATTTTAATTTCTTAGTAGATTACAAATTGAAAATAATTTACAAACATAAATGAATGTAACAATAAAAACTGTCCAAAATAAAAATGAAGAGTTTACAGATCAGTCATAATAGTTCACTGTGTCAAAACCAAGAAACTTATATTCGTATAATTAGAATTCTCAAAGTAGAAAGGAGTAGGCAATAAATATTTATTTTTTTATCTATTAAATGTGTGATGTTTTATTAAAGCAAAGTATAAGGTTTGTATTTTATAGTTCCTATCAAAACTCTTCCCATAATAAAACTTAAATCAGTTTTTTCACTGAAAGCAATAAATATTTAAAGATTTAAAATTTCTAAATTTAGTTCAACTTATAATACAGCATTTCCAAGAAAAATGAACCTTTTTGCACAAGAAATTTAAATAAAATCGTACCAAGATACACAAAAATGAAATTGTTCAAAATGTATTATAAAGAAAAAAATCATTAAAGCATATACATAAAAAATATTAGCTATGGAAGAACAAAATTAAATAGCATCTTA